TGTTTTATTATGTGGACTATCTTGGAAAATGTTCCATGTGCATTTGAAAAGAATGTGTATTTAGCTTCTTTGGGATGAAGGGCTCTATATATATTAGTTAAGTCATTTCATCTAGGGCATTGTTCAATGCCATAATATCTTTGTTGATATTTTGTTTGGAAGACCTGTCCGTTTTTGACAGTGGGGTGTGAAAATCCCTTACTATAATTGCGTTGCTGTCAATATCTTTCTTGAAGTCCTCTAAGATTTTCTTTTTTTTTAATTTATTATTTTTTAAAATTGATTATGCTGTTACAGTTGTTCTATTCCCCCTTTCATTCCCCTCCACCCTGCCCCCCCATCCCCACCATTACCCCCCTTTAGTTTATGTCCATGTGTCTCAAGTCCTTTAGGTTCTATATTTCCCATGCTATTCTTCCCCCCCCATCTATTTTCTATCTACTGTCTATGCTACTTATTTTCTGTACCTTCTCCCCCATCTCCTCCTCCCACTCCCCTGTTGCTAACCCTCCTTGAGATCTTCATTTCTATATTTCCACTCCTGATCTAGCTGTTCTTTTAGTTTGCTTTCGTTTTAGGTGTGGTTGTTAATAACTGTGAGCTTGTTGTTCTTTCACTGTTCATGTTTCTTTAACTTCTTTTCCTTAGATAAGTCCCTTTAACATTTCATATAATAAGGGCTTGGTGATGATGAACTCCTTGAATTTGGTCTTATCTGAGAAGCACCTTATCTGTCCTTCCATTCTAAATGAAAGTTTTGCTGGGTAGAGCAATCTTGGTTGTAGGTCTTTAGATTTCATGACTTGGAATATTTCTTTCCAGCCCCTTCTTGCCTGTAGGGTCTCTTTTGAGAAATCTGCTCACAGTCTGATGGGGACTCCTTTGTAGGTGATTGTCCCCTTAGCTCTTGCTGCTTCTAGGATTCTCTCCTTCATTTTAATTTTGGCTAATGTAATTATGATATGCCTTGGTGTGTTTCTTCTTGAGTCCAACTTTTTTGGTACTCTCTGGGCTTCTTGGATTTCTTGGAAGTCTATTTCCTTTGCCAGATTGGGGAAATTTTCTTTTATTATTTGTTCAAATAATTTTTCCACTGGTGGTTGTGTCTTTCCCCCTTCTGGTACCCCTATAATTCGGATATTGGAGCGTTTAAAGATGTCCTGGAGGTTCCTAAGACTCTCCTCATTTCTTTGAATTCTTGCTCCGTGACTCTTTTCTGTTTGGCCATTATTTGCTTTCTTCTGGTCCACTCCATTGATTTGAGTCCCAGTTTCCTTTTCATCTCTATGGGTTTCCTGTGGAATTCCATTCATTTCTCTTAATTTAGCCTTCATATGTTTCTCTAATTTGTGGCTATAATCAACCAGATCTGTGAGGAAGCTGATGACCAGTGTTTTAAACTGTGCGTCTGAGAGTTTTGCTATTTCTTCGTCGCTTAGATTTATCTCTGGGGCTTTGAGGTCTTCCTGCGACATTTTTGGTCTGTTCTGGCCCTTTAAATGTGAGAAGCGGCGCCTTGGACTCCCAGGTCGCTGGGTTGTGACGCTGTATGTGGGGGCGTGGTCAGAGCGGGGAAATGGCGGCGCCCTCTCGCACTGCGGCCGGTCCAACCGCCCACTCCCTGGCTCGCGCGCAATCAGGCAACCCAGTCAACACGCTGCACCGCCTCCCCACTGTCTCCTCCGCAGTCGCTCACCCGGTGGGTCGCTCGGTCGCTCACCAGGTCCAATCCTGCGTCTGGAACCCGCGTGTCCGGATTTGCGCGTCGGGATTCCGCGCCGGGTCCGACCGAGCCCTCCTTTGCAACTCCTCACCAGACGCCGGTTTCGCCCCTTACCGGTCAGGCTGAAGAATTTGTTGTTAGCGGACTTCCGAAAAGTTCAGTTTTCCGTGTTCTGGTTGTGTTTTCTGATGCTAATATTTAGTTGTCCCTAAACTTGGTTGTGTGAGAAGGCACGGCACATCCACCTATACCTCCATCTTGGCGGAAGTCCGAGATTTTCTTTATATATTTGGGTGTTCCTATGTTGGGTGCATATCTATTTATGATGTTAATGTCTTCTTGGTGGATTCTTCCCTTGAGTATTATGAAGTGACCTTTTGGGTCTCTCTTTATGACCCTTTTTTTGAAGTCTATTTTGTCTGATATGAGAATTGCTACCCTGGCTTTTTTTCTTGTCTGTTTGCTTGGAAAATTTGTTTCCAAGCAAATTTGTTCCCTTCACTTGTAGTCTGTGATGGTCTTTTGTCCTGAGGTGGGTCTCTTGTAGGCAGCATATGTGTGGGTCATGCTTTCTTATCCATTTAAGCTATTTTATGTCTTTTGATTGGAGCATTTAATCCATTTACGTTTAATGTTATTATTGATAGGTACTTATTCATTGCCGTATTTGTTCCTGTGTTCCTCTTTTCTCTCTCTTTTCCTTCCTTTCCTTAAAGCAGTCCTTTTAGCCCTGGCTGGTGTAGCTTGGTGGATTGAACACGGGCCTGTGAACCAAAAGATCAGGGTTTGATTCCCAGTCAGGTCACATGCCTGGGTTGCTGGTCAGTTCCCAGCAGGGGCCAGTTCCCAACAGGGGATGCACCAGAAGCAACCATACATTGATATTTCTCTCCTTCCCTTTCCTTCTAAAGATGAATAAATAAAAATTTTTTAAAAAGCAGTCCTTTTAGTATTTCTTGTAGAGCTGGTTTGGTGGAGGCATATTTTTTTAGACTTCTTTTGTCTTGGAAGCTCTTTATTTGGCCTTCTATCTTGATTGAGAGCCTTGCTGGGTAAAGTAGCCTTGACTGTAGTCCTCTAGTTCTCATTACTTGGAATATTTCTTGCCATTCTCTTCTTGCTTGGAGTGTTTTCATTGAGAAGTCAGTAGCTAACCTTATTGGGGCTCCCTTGTATGTTACTTCCTTTTTTTCCCTTGCTGCCTTTAAGATTCTCTCTTTGTCTTGGAATTTTGCTGTTTTAATGATGATGTGTCTTGAAGTGGGCCTCTTTAGGTTCCTCTTAATTGGGACTCTCTGTAATTCCTGGATTTGTGTGATTTTTTTTCTCTCATCAAATCAGGGAAGATTTCCATCATTGCTTTTTCAAATAGGTTTTCTATCGTTCTTGTTGTTCTCCTTCTGGTATTCCTATTATTCGGATATTATTACGTTTCATGTTGTCCTGCATTTCTTTTAATCCCTCTTCATTCTTTCTGAGCCTCTTTTCCTTTTCTTGCTTTTTCTGGGAGTTTCTTTCTACTTTGTTTTCCAACTCACTGATCCGACCTTCTGCTTCATTGATCCTGCTTTTAATTCCTTCTACTGTGTTCTTCAGTTCAGAGATTGTATTCTTCATTTCCTCTTGTCCTTTGCTGATAGTTTCTGTTTCCTTTTTCATGTTAATATAGTTTGTGGTGAATTCATTGTAGCTCCCCTGTAGTTTCTGGTAGCTCATTGTGAGATCTTTGAATTTCCTGATAACCAATGCTTTGAATTCAATATCTGATAATTGACTTTCTTCTATTTCATCTAACATTCTTTATGAGGCTCTTCCTTTTCTTTCATTTGGGGATCATTTCTTTGTCTTCCCATTGTTTGTGGGACTCTTCTTGTTAGCCCCTGCTTCTTAAATTGATCTGCCCTGACTCCCTGGGTTTATGGTATGAACTTCTGTGGTATAATACCTGTGAAATTCAGTAGTGTAGTCTCCTTCAGGTATCTTGATGTTCTCTGGTTCCACCTACTCTTTTGTGTGTGTGTGTGTGTGTGTGATCAGCTGTGGCTGTCTGGTCCATCTGTCACAATCTCTGGTCTCTTATTTTCATAAATGCTAGGGAACTGTTGGTTGATTGTGCTGTTCCTCAGTAGATCTGCCAGGATTTTCTCCCCTGGGTACAGGAACTGGAATCGCTTTTTCCTACTCCGTCACCATCTTCCTTCACAATCTAAAGATATACTTTTTGATATGAAGTATAGCAGTTTCCTTCTAATGTTGATAGTATTCTTTCATGCTATTGTTCAAATAGTGTCTTGTAGCAACTTTGGACAAAAGTCTTTTGAGAGGCAACATTATTCCTGTATGGTTTTCCTGAAAGTATCAATAATCTTGACAAATGTCACAGATATACTTCAATTAGGTTGTAATAATTTAAGTGTGGAAATTGGAAAGAGACTCTTTCTGTGTAGTTTGCTTTGTTTTCAAAACTGGGCAAGGGGAGAATGGGAGAAAAGGTACAGGGAATAAGAAGCATAATTGGTAGATACAAAATGGACAGGGGGAGGTTAAGAATCGTATAGGAAATGGAGGAGCCAAAGAACTTACATGTGCGACCCATGAACATGAACCAAGCGGGAAATTGCTGGAGGGAACAGGGGAGAGGTGGAGGGGGACCGAGAGGAGGAAATGAGTGTGACAAATGTAATAGCATAGTCAATAAAATATATTTAAAATATATAAAATAAATGAAATATAAAAAATCTAATTTTATGAAATATTGAGTAGCTACAAAATAATCTTCATAAAAGTTAACAGTACCATGAGCATCTATGTACCTGGTACCCATTTAAGAAATAACGCATTACTACCATGTTTAAAGCCCCTGTGTGTCTCTTCACCATTCTCTCCCCTCTTTCTTCCACAGGGGACTCAGTATCCTGACTCATGTTGTCATTTAAACAAAAAGCTAAAATAAAAACATAATCCAAATGCTTCTGACAATTATGACCCTTTGAAAGGCCAGCCTTGGAAAGTAGTTGAAGTTTTTTATGATTTTTATGAAGTTTTTTAATGAAGTAATTTATGACTATAATTTATGTTTAAGTTAATGATTATTGGGTATCTTGAGAAAAACAATTAGAAATCCTAATTTTATGGGATTTTTTTTTTTTTGGCATTCATTCCAAAATACAGGGAAGGGACTCTGCTGTCTCTAGAGGTGATCTCTTATCTTATGCAGGGGGCAGGATGGGAGTGGGGTAAAAGGAACATTAGGAACGTGTGCAGGAAACACAGACTTCAGCATGTTTCCCAGGGCTGTGGCTGGTTGTAGCCTTGGGGTCCCCAACTGCATGCGAGAGCATCTGTGAGAGCCTCTGACAACTGAGGTCAGCATAACACCTGCAGCTGCCACTCGCCTTTCCCTTAGTATCTTGGGGGAAAGAAAGAAAGAAACACAGATTCTGGGATGTACAAGCATGCCTCTCTCTATTGTGCTTCACAGATGTTACATATTTTGCAGACTGAAGGCCAGACCCTTCCTCCACCAGCAAAATGACTACAGTTCACTTTATGGTGATAGTTGCTTTATTTACGTGGTCTGGGACCAGACACGCAGTATCTCCAAGGTGTATGCTTGTTCTCTGTAGGTTTACCCCAAGTAAAGTAATAATGAGGTCTGTGTCTTTAAAATGCAGAAATAACTACCAGGACACAAAATAGAGATATGTTTTTCCTTAACTGATGCGACTCCTGTTGGCAGAATGAGCTCCTTGGCATCCTGTTAGGCTAAACCAGTGGAAAAACGTATCAGCAGCAATTGGTTCTAGTCCTGGATGGGTTTCTGGATACCCTTGTTTTAGGAAATAGGAAAGCACTTACTTCTAAAAGCTAACATATATAAACTGGTTATATTATTGTAAAACATAAAATTCATTAAAAATTTTCCCTTAAAAAGGAAAATTAATTCATTCATTAAGTCAGAATTTCTAATGTAATCATTTTAAATTCTGGCCCAAGGGGACAGCAACCTATACCAGAAGGGTAGTAGGGAAAAACACATTATAGTAATGGATTTCCATAACCTTCTTCAAAAGGAGGCATTTTAATGGTTCTGGGGACCATCATGGTGTTATTTTGGAAGTACAGTAATGGAAATACATGAAGCTAAAGTGCTGTGGTTAGATATATTAGACACCCTGAATAGGACCGTTAGCTTATAAAAAGGGGGGCTTCAATTAGAGTTTGCTACCTTCTGTGTTATGCCCCAGAAATTAAATAAAATTGGCTTAAGACGCTGAAGCAGCAAAGTCTGTTGCACTTCAAACAAAGCTTTGTTTGGGGGGAATTGCTGGCTTGTTACTAATGCATTTACCCAGAACCTAGAACTTTAAAGAACAGTGGAACCTAGATTTGGAGGGAAGGGGTCTCAGCATCTGTTACATGCTGGGGGAACTGGTGCCTGGGGTCTGAATTGTGCTCTCTGGAGTTGCTGTTACTTAGCTCAGAAATTGGAGATGATGAACTGGTGACATTTTAAGGAAATTAAATTTTCTATCTTATGGATTTGTGGACTTGCTTCAGGGATTTTATCTGTGTAATTCCTTTGATGTGTATGACCTCTGGACTATAATTGTTCTTTACCCTGTATATTGCTCATTATTAAAAGTGATTTGTGCCTATAGTAATGAAATGGACTAGACAACGAGAAGTGACATTTAGAAAACAATGCCTGGGTTAATTTTAACTTCCTGAAGTCCAGAACTATCCTACCCATGGAAAGTGACATATTCCTGACATTTTCTTCAAGATTTGTGTGGCGGGTTCTGATTGGTACCCTCGATCTTATCTTTGACTCACTTGTACGTGTCACATGACGAGTGCCAGGAGTGGAAAGATTGGTGCCTGTACTAGTCATAAAGCTGTAACGGAAGTGTGGGTCTTTTGTGGCCATGATCCCCGTGGAGCTCCAAGGCAGAACTATTTTTTCCCTGTAAAATAAAGTACACTCTTCACTTTTCAACTTTTTAAAGCTGCAGGACACATTTCCCAGTTTCTAGACCTGTACTCACTTTGGTTTGTGGAACCTATTTATCATCTCTCAGATGAGCGCCAAGGAAATGAATGCCCTGATTGGTGTTTGATTTAGCAAAAAAAACTCTTATCAGTAATTTTTAAAAGGCAAGTTTACCTCATTACATGTTTCACACCCTTTATTGGATGGGTTCCTATTGGCACAGGATGATGTACAGAATTCTTAATGTGGTCTCTACTGTGGGACAGTGTCTGGCACCTGCCAGTCTCTCTCATCTCATTGCCCCTGGACACACTGACCTCTCCAGATCCTAGCCAAGTGCTTTTTTGACTTTGGCGTTTTCACATATGTTATCTGTGTTGAGAGGGCGAGACCACAAGGTCATCTATTGTACTGGAGGGAAGGAATACAGACTATGTTCACTGAATTCAAGGGACACACTGGGGAAAAAATTGCTAAAATGAGGAATAGGAGGCTATAGAATGCTACACAATATTCATATTTTGGCAACTACTACAGAAATGGCCTAGAACAATGGCTGGTGTTCAACCCAATGGAGCTGAGGGTTGCTTTAGACCAGATGGTTCAGATACCACTTCTACTCTCCTGAGTTGTTGCCTTCTTCTATGTTAGTGGTGTTATCAGTAGGAAAGCCATACGCAAGTGAGGAAACCAGCCATTGACCATCAAGCTTATGAACCTCAGACGTAGTTTCAAAACTATAGGACCCCTTACTGGTGTGGTGGTAATCAATGTGAATAAACCAGTTACTGGGGTAGCTCTGTAACTGGTTTATTACCCACTAAATGGGGTACATTACCCACTACAAGCATGCTGGTGGTGGATAATGTTAGGGATGGGAGGCAGTAGGACTTGCTAGTCTGATACGAGGACTTTTGCTAATTAGACTGGATGCTACTAGCTGTGTGAGAAGTGTGTTTCTCTAACTAACGGGGTTAGGAAGGTCGGAGGAGGGGAAACATGCCTTCTGCCCGGCGGGCTCTTTCTCACACTTCACCTGGTCAACCCACTGCCCTCTCCAGGCTAAAGTATCATTTCTCTTACCAAATAAATTGTTTGTCATCTTATTCTGACTAATATAGCTCAGTGTTTTACTTTCCTAGGACTTAACCACTAGTTATACTTACGTGCTTACTGGGTGCTTCTTTGGGTTCTGTCTCCTTCACTACAGGAGACAAATCCACGGAGGTCTGGGGTCACACCGGTTTCATCTGTCACAAAACCCGCACCACTTAGCGGAGTGCAAAAGAAAGAAAATCTTCAATAAGTAAGCAGAGTTTGGTTAGACATGCTTCATTTACAAAAGACGGAAAAACCCAACTCAGACTGCCTTAAGCAAAAGGCTGCATTGGCTGATGTGACTAAAAAGTTCAGAGGTGATGTTGGCTCTGGACACTTTTGAATCAGAGAGTCGGATGACTCACCAAGAGTCAGCTTCATGTCTGCCTGCTGTTTCCTGTGGTCCTGTTTTCCTCCTTCAGTTCCCAGTGATTGCGCCCTTGCCCTTCCAGGCTCTCGCTTTATTAGTGGGGAGGGGGGCCTCAGCAGCTTTAGACCTCACACCCCCACACTTCATGGTCCAGGATTCTGGGGTTCAAAAGAGGGTTTCTTCTACACTGGGTCTGTTTTTCAGAAGCCCCCACATACAGATGCTTGACTCTTGTGACTGATTTTGTTAAACACACATTCATAAATCTGTGCAGCTAGGAAGATGAGATAAAGCAATTGATTAAAACAATGTGGATTCATCCATGGAAACTGGGGTAAGGCTAACCCCGCCATGTCAGAAGATTAAGAATGGAAGAGGGATGGGTTCCTGAAGGCAAATTCTGTGGGGAACAGATGTATGCTGTATGATGCATAAAATGTACCAGCTGCATATTTTTTACATCGTTTTCTCATACCTATTTTTCCAACTGACAGAATGATGCCTGGGCCACCATTATACCGAGTCATCTGGGACCTGTGTTCCACTGCCAGCCCTGTTCCAGACCCATAGCCCCTCCTCGACTCGGGGTCAGCAATTTTCAACCAGTGCGCTGCAAACATTTTTAAACATGCAATACCTGGCTATTTAGTCAGGGGCACTGACCTCTTTTTCCTTAGGGTATCAAATTTAAAAAATGACAACAGCCCACACAAAAGTAGCTATCTGATGTTAATGAATCAAAATTATACCTTTTTTTTTTGTCACACCAGCAAAAAAAATTTTTTTTTGGTGTGCCGCAAAACTTTAGTAATTTATGTGTGCCACCAGGTGAAAGAGGCTGACGACTGCTGCCCCAGGGCATATGAAGTTATTGTGTCTCTGGCTCTGTGCTCCTGCTTGGTCTTGGATCCCACTCGGGTCCATTACTTTGTGTCTGTTCTTTTTGGGATATGTCTTCCTCTTGTTTCCAAACCTCCTTCGTGGATGGCTAGAACTGGCCTAACTGACCAGTTGTATTCCAAAGGGCATAATGTTTTATTTACCCGAAGAAAGCGTGAGATAAGGTAGAATGACAGGTCAAGTCAGGGAATCAGGTCAAACAAGTCTAGAGGTCAGGTTCAGTGTTGAAAACTAGATATAAGACTGAACAGGTATCAGAAATATGGCAGAAATTTGAGTGGGAAGTGAGGGGCCTAGGCAGTTGCATTGTGTCCAGGGCTTGCTTTTGGGAGCTTTATGTATGTGTTTGATGGATGTTCTGTACTGGCTTAAAGGGACAGGGCACGGTGGACCCCCATCTCAACTGGTCTTTATGACCTGAGTTGTGTGCCTGGGATTGTGTGTGTGTGGCATGCACACTCAATTTATTACATATAAGGTTTTATATTTCCTTTCACTAAAATATTACATGGCATGGGAAAAGTGCTTGGGTCTGCCTGATTCTGTTAAGATCAGTCCCTGTCTGAATTTCTAGGAGTAGTTTGACATTAGGCAGGTGGACTCTTAAGTTTTAGCTTAACAATCTGGGCTCAGAAATGAACTTTTTTAATAGCCCTGCTGTGACCATCAATTCTAGCTCCGATGAGTGGACCTTTGCCTTTTCCTTGGGTTGTGGTTTTACCTTTTATATCCTTGTTATGGTATCTGCATTTCATGTCTTGCCCCTGTGCTCAGCATCTTGTCTCGTTAGAGTAAACATATAATTATTTGGTCCTTCTAGATCTGGGGCCTTGTCTTGCTCTCGCAAGTCTCCTTAAAAGCAGAGTGCATGATACTAATGGACATAGAAACAGGAATCTGAGCCTCAAAGTGAGGTTTGAGCTTGATTAAAAACAAACAACTGTAGTCACAATAGTATTTGATTAGTGGTCTTTGGAGGAAGAGAATCTGGCTATTACCACTTCCAGTAAAATAAGGAACAGACAAGCACAATGCCAAAGCAGTAGC